GAGTGCGTTAGATTCTGAATCAGAGAAGCTTGTACAAGAGGCTTTGGATCGTTTCATGATTGGAAGGACTACTCTCATCATTGCTCATCGCCTTTCTACCATTCGAAAAGCTGACCTTGTTGCTGTGCTTCAGCAAGGAAGTGTCTCTGAGATTGGAACGCATGACGAGCTTTTCTCCAAGGGCGAAAACGGAGTCTATGCTAAGCTAATTAAAATGCAAGAAGCAGCTCACGAAACCGCCATGAGCAATGCAAGAAAGAGTAGCGCAAGGTATATTCAGATTCATATTGCGTGGTTTTGATGATGATTTTGAGTTACTGATGGTAATCTATTTGTTGCAGACCGTCAAGTGCTAGAAACTCGGTTAGCTCGCCAATAATGACTCGGAATTCGTCATATGGAAGATCACCTTATTCACGGAGACTCTCGGATTTTTCAACTTCTGATTTTAGCCTCTCCATTGACGCGTCTTCCTACCCAAACTATAGAAACGAGAAGCTGGCCTTCAAGGATCAAGCCAATTCATTCTGGCGACTAGCTAAAATGAACTCTCCAGAGTGGAAATACGCTTTGCTCGGTTCGGTAGGCTCTATCATTTGTGGCTCCCTCAGCGCGTTCTTTGCATATGTCCTCAGCGCAGTCTTAAGCATCTACTACAACCCGGACCATGAATACATGATCAAACAGATTGATAAGTACTGTTATCTCTTAATCGGTCTCTCTTCTGCAGCACTTGTCTTCAACACACTCCAGCATTCTTTCTGGGACATTGTGGGTGAGAATCTGACCAAGAGAGTCCGTGAGAAGATGCTCAGCGCTGTACTCAAGAATGAGATGGCTTGGTTTGATCAAGAGGAGAATGAAAGTGCAAGAATTGCAGCACGATTAGCCCTTGATGCCAATAATGTGAGATCAGCCATAGGAGATAGAATATCCGTTATTGTGCAGAACACAGCACTGATGCTAGTAGCTTGCACTGCCGGGTTTGTTCTACAGTGGAGGCTCGCACTTGTCCTTGTCGCAGTCTTCCCCGTAGTTGTTGCTGCAACTGTCTTACAGGTTTGTGTTCTTACTAAGCAAATGCATACTCTTATTGTTCTTATATCTGAAACTCTGTTTTCTCTTTTGAATAGAAAATGTTTATGACTGGATTCTCGGGAGATTTAGAAGCGGCGCATGCCAAGGGAACGCAGCTTGCTGGTGAAGCCATAGCTAATGTCAGGACAGTTGCGGCCTTCAATTCGGAGGCAAAGATTGTTCGTCTCTACACTGCAAACCTAGAACCACCATTGAAACGCTGCTTCTGGAAAGGACAAATTGCTGGAAGTGGCTATGGTGTAGCTCAGTTCTGTCTTTACGCATCTTACGCTCTCGGGCTATGGTACGCATCATGGCTTGTGAAACATGGCATCTCTGACTTCTCCAAAACCATAAGAGTCTTCATGGTTCTGATGGTCTCAGCCAATGGTGCTGCAGAGACGCTCACACTGGCTCCTGATTTCATTAAAGGTGGTCAAGCTATGCGCTCTGTTTTCGAACTTCTTGACCGGAAAACCGAGATTGAGCCCGATGATCCTGATACCACCCCAGTCCCAGACCGGTTACGCGGTGAAGTTGAGCTCAAACACATTGATTTCTCTTACCCTTCAAGACCAGACATCCAGATTTTCCGTGACCTTAGCCTTCGTGCTAGAGCTGGCAAGACTCTAGCTCTTGTGGGTCCAAGCGGGTGCGGTAAAAGCTCGGTTATCTCCCTCATCCAGAGATTCTACGAACCATCCTCAGGCCGAGTCATGATCGATGGGAAAGACATAAGGAAATACAACCTAAAAGCCATACGGAAACACATAGCCATAGTCCCTCAAGAGCCGTGCTTGTTCGGAACCACCATTTACGAAAACATCGCTTATGGACACGAATGTGCGACCGAAGCAGAGATCATACAGGCCGCGACTCTAGCCAGCGCCCACAAGTTCATATCCGCACTACCCGAAGGTTACAAGACGTATGTCGGCGAGAGAGGTGTTCAGCTCTCGGGAGGACAGAAACAGAGGATCGCAATTGCACGTGCCCTCGTGAGAAAAGCAGAGATCATGCTGCTCGACGAGGCTACAAGCGCTCTTGATGCAGAGTCCGAGAGATCAGTCCAAGAAGCATTGGACCAGGCTTGCTCTGGTAGAACATCGATCGTCGTGGCTCATAGGCTATCTACAATCAGAAACGCACACGTGATCGCTGTCATCGATGATGGAAAAGTCGCAGAACAAGGATCGCATTCGCATCTTCTCAAGAACCATCCTGATGGAATCTACGCGCGGATGATACAGTTGCAGAGATTTACGCATACTCAGGTGATTGGTATGACGTCAGGTTCAAGTTCTAGGGTTAAAGAAGATGATGCTTAGTACTTACTACTTTGGTCATTATAGAAGAAGAAAGAAGAGTTAAAAAAAACAAACATCAGAAGATGTCTCTGATAAAAACTCTACAGACTCATTTTCTCCTTTTTTCTGTTTTGATTTTGGGGTTACTTATTTTTGGAACTACGTTTCAGATTTGATGGTATAGTATTATTATTGTGTATTATCATAATTAATCTAATTTTTCACCTCTGTAATATCCATTTATGCCATATCAATCTATGAGCATTTTCTAGTGAAGTGAAGAAGATGATGATGAGAGGTATGTGTCTCATTATCATCGAGTGCACTTGTTACCATATATATTGGTTTGGTTTGGTTTGTTTATAGATTTCAGGATAAGCCTAACTTTTCCAATCATGAGATCCGTTCTAAAAGAAATGTAATCTTTTAAGTTTTTAAATTGTATTGGTTAGATGGGTTTTGAATGATGTGGGTCTATTTTAAAATCACTTGTGTGTAAATCATGGTTTTTATATTAGACATGATTAATAATGTAAGCATATAAATAATTATCTATGACAATATTGTCAAAAAGAATGCTTTAGATGTATAGACACACGAACATACGTGGGGAACAAAATTATGAAGATGAGAAAACAGAAAATGAGAAAAAGAAGATGGGTCCAAAAAGGACATTGAATGAGATGATGAGACCCAAAGCTAAAAAAATAAAGAAAAAGAAAGAAAAGACAAACATTTCTTTTGTGTTTATATGAATGACTTTTTTATGAACCAATTCTTGATTTCGTTTCTTTGTGCAACACACGCGTGCGACCATACATACATATATGCATATGGGACACACACACACCATGATGATGATGATGACTACTTTGTTTTAGTTGTTGAATGCAATAAATTTGTGTTTAGTTACGAATAAACTTGGAAATTATAGTGGAGGAGAAGAAGCACGTAGCTCCTCTCGGCACATGTCGTTCACTAATTGAGGAATTCAAATAAGGCCAGAATAATTTAGCTACACTGGATTTTCCCACTATCTAGTTCAAAAATAAAATACTACATCGCGTTCTATTTTTTTCCAAGAAGTGAACATTATGTATAGTTTTTACTTTATATATAAATTAATTTTATCATTAATAGAATTTGGCAAATGTAATGTTTTACTTGTTAAAAAATTGGCAAATAAAATCAATTTTTAATGGACTTTTGCGTAGGATGGATAGTGGGACATAAACTACATTTTTGACATTCCCAAATCAACTCAATATTTTTTGTAAGATTAGATTATATTTTTGTGAACACCGTGAAAATGCAAATAAAATTAATGAAAAGATATGTCAACAAATGGATACTGGGACATAAGAAAAGCGTGGAAGATAAAACATTGCAAGGAGAGAATGGTCTAGGTCAAGAATCAAGATGAAGAACTTGCACCTGCTAATTTCTCTCAAAAATTCATATTAGTGGATCCGTTTGAGGTCGATTCAGCCACGCAGATATTCAAGTCTATGTCCTCATTAGGCGCAATTCACCTTCAAACCCGTAAAATAACAATATTAATGAAAGAAAGGTATTGAAATAGGAAACGCTAATAGCTTGAATTATTGAGGGAGTTGTGGACTAATTACCTTCACATCTAAATGAAGAAGAAAACCTTTATACTAAACTAGGTCTTCTTGACAGGCCTGCATATTTTTCCCGATCATATTGAGAGTCTCTTGTCTATGTAACAGTATTTTTTCTTGTCCTTGGAATAATGGCACACTTTTAATTTATGATTTCTTGTAATAATAACCCTTGGTGGATTCCTTGGCGGGGAGGTTTTCTCATAATGTTATCACTCTTTTATTTGAATCCCTGCCAACATTTTGGATTAGCCTTTGCTAGTGGAAGATATGGCCATCATACATGTATATGTTGATCAACCAATTATGAAATATTAAGCGTGGATGGTCTCCTAGGATTTTGGCTGTTTTGATCTTTTTTGATCTGGTGACCATGCGCAGGCAAGATGGAACATATACAGGGGAGTAACTTTTGTAGCAATTAGATTAAAAAGAATCAATATTTAGTAAAAGACGATTAAAAAAACTTTTTGGAAGAACCAACTTGGTTGCGAATTAACTTGAGCATCTCCCTCCCTCTCATCCATTTCAACAATACCTTCATGTGCATTTAGCTATTCAGTCCACTAACCCCAGCTTCCTGTTGTTTACATTGTAACACAATCACCAAATTAATACTGAGTTTATCCCAACATTCAATACCTAAAATACTTAGACAAATTACACAGCTGAATCAATCAACGTTAGTATATGCAAACATAAACACAAACAAACACAATCAACAAGTAAATAAACTATACCACTGATCTAAAGAGCTTATACTCCATAACATTGAAAATAACCTTATTTTGTTATCATGTCTAATTAAAACTAACGATCAAAGGAATGAAAAAGAAAAAGAATTGTTCGCCATTTTAATCTCTTTCTTACAACATATATACTACATGCCCTGAATTACCAAAAATAAAATAAAACTACAAGCTCTTATTTAAAACAGATAAAAAAAATCCCTCATACAGTATCTTTGTAAAATCGTTACAACGATTACTCTCTCCGACGAAGAAGAAATCGAAGTCAAGAACCGAGAAATATCACTAAAGAATCTTCTTTCTTGCGATCAAAGTAAACGAAAATGTCATTCTCAGACGATCCTACATCTCCGACGGAGAAGAATCGAGCTCGTACGAGTCAAGAACCACGAGAGCGCCCTCAAGATTTGTCTTTCTTGTCGTCCAAGGAAACAGGGAAGAGCCAAGAACCGAATGAAACGTCTCGCTCCTCTGTTTTTCCGATGAACAGAGACAAAGAAGCCTTAAAGAATCGACATGGCCCGGTCTCGAAAAACCAAAATTACGACTTCGAAAGTAATAACATCACCATCAACACTAAAAACCTGCTACATCCTTTCGTTGTCGTAGGAGGTTTTTCCGTCACAACTTGTATATACGTTTTCTTCTCTGAAAAGCTTTACTTCTCTGCTTGTGACTTCTTGTATTTGTTTGTGTCTGCCTATCAAAATTGTCAATGTTATGTTCACTTACTGTTTCAGGTGAAGGATATGGCACAAACAATCCTGACTCTTTTGGAGACCAGCCTAACTTTCTTCTTGGTTCTGGAGGGAATATTGCATCAATGAGCTCACAAAGAGATGACCTTAGACCTGAAAAGCAACAAAAGATGTCTAATGTGTCAAACAGTTCCATAAGTGGTGGTGTTGGGATGTATTCAAAAACCGTAGACTCTCAGCAGGGTAAGTAAAATCTTGATTTCCCCTTCCGTTTTCGGTTATAGACTTGTTGTGGTTCATCAGAATAGTAAAGTAGTACTAAAGTCTTATGGTGTATTTTATCGCTTCAGGTGAAGAACATGGCACAAACAATTCTGACACTTTGGGAGACTCAAGTAACATTTCTCTTGGTTGTTTTGGGAGCATTGAATCCATATTGAAGGCAACAAGAGATGGAAAAGAGGTTCCGACGATGCCTACCCCTAGACCTGTCAACAACGCACCTCAATGGACCATCAAGAAGAGATTGACCAAGAAAGATGTTAACCCTTATGGCCAACTTAGTCTGCCCAGTAGCTCCTTCGATCAGCACATTCGAAGACATCTGCCTGAAGAAGATTTGGCAAAGATAGTAGGAGCCGGACTCATTGTTAACGTATTTGACAACGACACGGGCACAATACATAAGCTGCGTCTGGCAGTATACTATACCTATGTTCTAACGGGTGGCTGGCTGGAAGATTTCATCCAAAGGAGAAGCTTGAAAGAAAAAGACGATATAGGACTCTTATGGGACTCTTCTGCTTCTAGGCTTCAATTTGGCGTGATTGCTCGTGCAAAGGCAATGGTTCCTCGAAAGAGAACAAGGTCTGCATAATGTGATCTCAATTACAAACGCATAAAAGCAGCTGAGAGAGGTAGTGTTTGTTCTTTATATTTTGTCAAACAGCGATTGATATGGCTTATATGATTAGGTTTTTTCTGCAGCCAACTACTGGAGAATCTGATGCGTTGTACACAAACAATATATGATTTATCAGATCTTAAACTTCTAAGTGAAGCCAAAACTGCTAAACCAGCAACTGCATGATAGAATACTTTGCAAAAGACAAAAACCTTGAATCATTAATTTAGGAGAGTATACATTTAGCTACTAAGGATCATCATCTTACAACAAAAATCCAGATTCCATTAACTAATAAGGAACAAAAACTGTAAAACTCTCAGGCAGACATCAGCTTTGGACCATTGTCCGGCATTCCCATTCCACCGGCTAAATCTGCATCGAGTTGCGAGTGTGGCGCTGGTCCCTTCATCATCTTCACACTGCAATCACACAAAAAATTTCCAAATGGACAAAACACAAATATTAAGTCCGAGTACAGAGCAACAATATAATCATAGAAAGGCAATCAAATTAGAAGAGCTAAAAACATTTTTAGCTACGTCAGTGAAGAGAAATAGCTTCAACATTGCAAGTAAGATGGATTCAAAGTACTTATTAAGCGCAATTATCATCAATTCAGTAATTCCAAACGAGCACAAGAACCAAACACAGTTCCAAGAACACAAAACCAAAGCCAAGGAAGAGGAATCCACATACCGCTTCTTGTGTTTCTTAGTCTTGAAATGATCATTCCTCACTGATGCGTTGGAGAAGTATCGACTGAAACATATCAAGGGTAAAACAAACAAAAGGGTCAAAATCTAACACAAATGTTAACACAAACAGAAACATATAGAGTAATTAAAAGATTGTCTTTTTGCTAAAAAAAAGTTTCATATACCAAAAGAGTCAATAGAGTAAATCATATAAGCTCTTACTCGCAGTGTAAGCAGTAGAATTGACCCATTCCAGGCAAATCCTCATCAAGCTGAGGAGGCTTAATCTCCGTCTCCGGTTTACGCAACTCTGTGTATACCAAGTCGTCACCTTTGACTTCGAATTTGTCACGGCGAGCTGTTTTGTGAGATAATCTCCTCTTCTTCACTTTTCTAGTCGGACATCTACCCATTTTAGCTTCCTAAGTACTGAAATTGAATCATCAATTGCAAAATTAGTGACTAGTTGATAAGAATCTAAACGAATTTGTAGATTAATTGAAAACTTACGATTCAGAGAAGAAACTACAGGAGGAGCTTGGAGACGACGACGCGGAAGAGGAAACCCTAGAAATTTTTCAGTTTCGGTTATAAAGTATTGATTAACCTAAAAAAAGGCGGTTTCAATGATTGAGACTTCGACGCGAGGCCCGTTTTTTATAAACAGGCTTCTATCGGCCCATAAATAATTAACATGGGCTTATTACATTTGATAGCACGAAGGAAGAAGAAGACTCAATTCAAGACCAAAATCTAAAATAATACACCAAGATATATGCAAGTTATGCAACTACTTTCTATTACAGAGTCTTTTTATGCAAGCAAAATTATGATTTAGCATAAGATAAGTCTGAAATAGCATTGTAAGATAAGTCACGAGTTCTAGCAATGTACTCGGGACCGAATTAGTGACAGAAGCGTAGGTTTACTGATAAATCTCATAGCCATTTTTTTAGGAATCCATTAGTTCATTAGTATAACAAGAAACTAATAAATTCTTAGAGGTGGAGCTAGAGGCTGGGAATGAAAGGCTGCTTTGCGTTGCATGATCTTAATGCTCCTCACAATGGTGGTTATGTTGTCTTGGGGAGCGTTTGAAGCTTGTTTCTTCTCTCTATAGTTTTCTTGGTCACCAATACGACGACATGTCTTTTTTTTTTTTGATAAACCATATTGGCTACAGAGTACACTTCTTCCCGAAAGATCATGTCTATCCCAAGTTTGGAATGCTATCCGACTAATGGCTTAATAGATCTACTTATGTTATGTGGATTCACATCTAGAGCAAGGACAATGGGTCATTCTCATTCCTCCAGCTAGATAATACGTGGTTAGCAAGATTTGTTTGAAATGTGGGACGTTCCTTTTTTCGTTCTAGATACTTCTACTACACCATATTGGCTCGTAGATGGGGTCTCGTTCTAATAATTTAAGGTGCTTCTGCCGAGGAAATCAATAATTGTAACAAATGATAGTGAAACAGACCGGTACCAAATCCAAACTTTTCATATTGTTTATTAGTGTAATAATGTTGCATGGAGATCCATTTTAGATGTTTAAAATTGAGTTCTTGCTGAGTTGGTTCTACTTTGTCTCTGCCCCCACTAAACTTGATTTCTAAACGTTTCTATAGCCCCATCTCTTTCATGTTGTCTTAATTATCAGATAGATTTTACTTTTAGACTCCTAACCCCAAGTTACTGTATATCATTTTGATTATCTTATTTTCTTTCACTTTCTAACTGTAGTTTACTTTTAGGCTCCATTTCGTAAACATATATTGTTATCTTTTTGTGATGCGCATTTTTCTTTTAATTTGTTCTTTCTGCATTATTTTCTAGCAAAATGAATGGAGATTATATTTCACAACTTTTAGAGTAATGGTAAAATTTCAGCTGAATATTTAAGCCATGTTATAACCATTTTCACCTTCACATGAGAGACAAATATATGTACGGCGAATCTTCTATAGCAATAAAAACTGACATGCATGACGACGGTTTATAACCGTATTGAATGGTCATTTTTTAAGCTACAACGAGAGGCGAGCAATGAGACTTGCCGAAAAATAAGTGGAGAAAATGGTGACTTGCATGTGTACGTGTATAGTAAATTACTCAGTGCTAATTAATGGTACCATATGGATGGATGAAACTACCTAAAGGGTTGAAACAAGACGATTTTCTGTTGCCATATTTTTCTTGATTATGTGTGGCTGTGTTAGTCCACATGCTGTCTCCAGGCGAGCCGCCGGGGAGGTGATGGGCCAAAGATGCGAGCCGAGGAGGTAGTGATGGATGAGGAGAAGAGAGAGAGGAAGTCATGAAGTGGCTGGAAAGACGAGGCGAATTTGAAGGATTTCTCCGGTGGAGGTTTAGATTTCGCAAAGATATAAAGAGATCAGAGGAGCAAGTGGATGAGTAATTTGTTATTGAACTTAAAATGTGTATTGAAATGTTTCCAAACTTGTATAACATAATCACTAATTATTGCAACTTGAAATTAAAATGGTCTAATTTTGTTGCAATTAGTGAGTATGATAAAATTAGTTAAAATGATCCAAGTCAGTCTGACGTGTTACATCGTGTTTACTACTTTTTACACTGTGGAACACGAAAACAAATCTTTGTATATGTTAAAATCGTATTTAGCTACAAGATTTGTGACTATTTATACCCTAAACTCCCAAATTACAGAACATAACGTTTCAAAACACAAACATACAAAACACAAACTTACGTTGAAGTTTGTGGTCATTGTGATCGTTAACTTTACGAAAGATTTTAGATAATAGACAAGAAAGTTCTCAATCAAACTCTATATCTCATGTGTATATAATAATGTGTGTCCACCTCAGGTATTACGTCACTCATAGGACCATATGACAAAAAAATTCAACAAAACACAATGAAACATGATGTTGACAAAATGGACCGGTAAAAAGGAGGAACGAAACGCAATTACGCAACTCTTGAGACATTTTTTTACTTTTCTTATCCTTTTACTGTTTATGCAGTTGAAAGATTTTCAAATAAATTCAATTTTCACACACGAACTGACGAACCCAATAAGATGGTGATATTCAAAAAAGAAAAGTAAAAGTGTAAAACTCAGTGAGTTGAAATTGCAAAATTCCTCATGTCTCTGTCTCTATACCGCAGCCCATGTTTTTTTTGTAGATAGGCAGTTCTTGGCTGTTTCCATGAAGCTGAAACTTACAAAACCAAAGTCATTTAATTAAAACCAGTAATTGTGCTCTTTAGGGGAGCAATTTTTTAATATATATGTAAGAATTTTAAAAATAATTGGATAAGCTATTGGTGTTAATTTATATGTACATTCTTTTGTGTTAATTTACTAATATATGTACATTACACACATGTCTTGAATTCTTCTATGTACTAGTACCAAATATATAAATCGGTCAAACTAGTACTTGACAAAATTTAAACCATGTGCGACTTGTCGTTTAATTATCTTGTATTTTAAAGTTTTGATCTGATCTTAATATGCGTTTAATGGATTAATATAACAAGTGGTAAATTGATATTATATATTTTGGTTTCTTTTCCTAAAACTAAATCTGTTGTAAGAAGTTTTTGTTTGTTTATTAATTGTAGTAACCCACTTTCCTAATGAAATTTCTAAATAATAGGAAAAAAAAAAAAAAAAAGGGAGAAGAGGAGGTTCCATCAACTTCATGTATAATGAGACAAGACTGTGCAATTTGCACAATCATGGCTTTAAGCCTTTAACCAATACCCATTTATCAGAAGAAAAAGAATCATCTTTATCTTTAATCTCTTTACAAATTCTTTTTATAATAAAAATGAGGTGATTCAAAAATGATTTGATGAAAACATCACTTTTCTTTCTATTTTATTAGTCCGGTAATTCGTTTATGAAGTTATAAAGATCTAATTCAATGTTTTAGTATTGTATTAGGTTACATTTCTAACGGTTAAATTTTGCTAACATATTATAAAGTAAATTCTACTGAATAAAACTGTTATTTCAATCTGGCTTCGTATCTTTCAATTCTACATGAAATTATCGATCTAATATACTTACCCTTCGCTCTGAATTATATTACCTATTATTATTTGTTTATGCTTTTGGACCATTTTTTTTTTGTTTGGACCAAACTCTTGGTGAACATTCTTTTATGATGGAATATATCTAATTATTAACAAAATAATACTTTCATTTTGTATCTAATAGAAAAATAATACTTTCGTACTACTTAAAAAGAAATAGCTTCTGCAGTTCGTATTCATTGATTAAGGCCGTGAAATCTTCTAGCTAAAGTTTATTTCTGATAAGGTAGGATGTATATTCTTTGAATTGTGACTATTGGTCGAATGTATTTTTACCTTAAACTGTTTTAAGATTCGGCTAATCTAGACTAGACTCTAGTCGTCAAGTAGTCAAAGCTGAGAAATGATACTCTTTTTGTTTTCAAAAGCAATGTCACCTTTAAGAAATCATTAAAATTAATCAACAATTTGCGTCAAAAACAATTTTTTTTTTTTAATATTATCCATGGATAACTAAATTAATGTGTGTTCAGAAACTTGGTGCCTTCGTGTCTCGTACCATCACTTGTGTCAAACCGGCGTCAAACGCCCACTCTCGCTGACCTCAGCCCCCAACAAATACACATACGAAAATCAACATGTAACATTAAACCATATAATATTCAGTAAAAATTCAGCATCAATAATATAGTAAAATAATTATCTTCTCGCATCCTTCTTCTCTATAAATACACACATTTGCCTCCACTTACTCTCGTTCAAACATTTCTTCATCCTTTAAATACAAAAAATAAAAAATCCCTAGAAAATAACCTTATCTTCAACCAAGAATGGGAGAGGTCCAAGAAGGTGCCAAAGTTGAACAAGAGAAGAAGCCGGCTGCCACCGTAGTTCCAGTCGAGACTACGGACGGCAAGCCAAAGAGCGGCGGAGGAGATTCCGCGGCAGCAGCAGCCCCGGCCGCCGCTGCCTTTGTTTACAAAGTTGATCTGCACTGCGAAGGCTGCGCTAAGAAGATTAAGCGAATGGTGAAGCACTTTGATGGAGTGAAAGATGTGACGGCGGATACAGGTGGTAATAAGCTTATGGTGGTCGGAAAGATTGATCCGGTGCAACTCCGGGAGAAGTTGGAGGAGAAAACTAAGAGAAAGGTGGTACTCACCAATCCACCGCCAAAGGTAGAGGGACCTGTTGCTGCCGCCGTTGGAGAGAAGAAAGCTGATGGTGGTGATAAGGCGGCGGCTCCTCCTCCTCCTGCTCCGGCAGCTCCAAAAGAGGTATAGATCTAATTGAATAAGAACAAGAGACAACTATGCTTTTGCTACTGTACGCTCGTTTTCTGATAGCGTACGTTAGCAACTTAAAATGAATAAATAGTAGTGTGGATCACACTAGTTAATTAGGCAGATAAGCTAAACGAAAAAAGATTAGGCAATAAAGTAAATCCAGATTTCATTGTCTAACAAAGTATGATTATGAATTATTTATTGATTTGACTTTTAATTTGCTTTTGTTCAGAGCTCGGTGCCTTTAAAGATCAGACTACATTGTGAAGGATGTATTCAGAAAATCAAGAAAATAATATTAAAAATCAAAGGTAAGGGATTAATAACCAACGAAGTTTTACTAAATTTAAAACACAAGAAATAATTTAATTATGGTAATTAATTAATATTAATTTAACAGGGGTCGAAACGGTGGCTATTGACGGAGCTAAAGACTTGGTGACGGTGAAAGGAACGATAGACGTTAAAGAACTTGTGCCTCTCCTCACTAAGAAGCTCAAAAGAACCGTCGAGCCTCTTGTTCCCGCCAAAAAAGAAGACGGAGCCGCCGAGAAGAAGAAGACAGAAGCCGCCGCTCCTGACGCAAAGAAAGAGGCTCCGGCCGCCGGAGTTAACGAAGCAAAGAAGGAAGGAAGTGACGGTGGTGAGAAGAAGAAAGAGGCCGGAGACGGCGGAGAGAAAAAGAAAGAAGCTGGTGACGGCGGAGAAAAGAAGAAAGAAGCCGGAGACGGAGGAGAGAAGAAGGAAGGAGGAGGTGTGCCGGCGCCGGTGGCGATGGTGAATAAGATGGATTATTATGGGTACTCATCTTATCCAACGGCTCCGATGTATTGGCAAGAAGGACACGTGTACGGTCAGAATTATTCGATGGGAGGTCAGAGTTATCCCGTGGCAGGTCAGAGTTATCCAGGTTCGGGATACAATTACGCGAGTGAGAGTTACGTGCCGTACTCGCAGCCAAACGTAAACGATCCTGGAATGTTCAGCGACGAGAACCCCAATGGCTGCTCCGTTATGTAATAATGGGGTTAAATTGTAAATATAAGAAACTCTAAGGGTTTATGCATAAATGTGGGAACACTTAGGTAAAATTTTGAAAGTCGAGTTTGAGCCAGCGAATTCTGACGTGTAACATTGTTCCTTTGTTAGTTAGTTCTTTGGGGAATGTTGAATAATTAATTACTTTACTTTAATTGTTGTGTTAGCAAGTAACAATAAGAATAATGTAAAATTATGAAAATGAATAAAATTATCTTTCAAGACAGATTATTAACGATTTAACTTTAAAAATTCCATAAATCATTCAATTGATTAACTTGTACGAAATATTTGAAAAGATTATCAACAATAAATGATTTTTTGGTGGAAAAGCTAATTAAAGCCATTTTCTCGATCAACTAATGATATTTTTTTTTTTTTTGAATAAAATGTTAAATTATATTCAAGAAAAAAAATATACTTGTTACATCAGCATCATAATGATATTATTATCTACATAGTAATTATTGTTACCCTTTATATAAGTAAAGTTTTAACTTTATGTCATTGAATGAATCATTAGTCCTCCCTTGAATCATTAGTCCTAATTACAATATATCTAAATTAAAGACATACAATACTATAATTTAGCAAACAAAAAAGCAATATTGATGATCCAGAAAAATGGTAGATTTTTTGTACGTAAACTCAAATGAAAAACTAAACATGAGCGAAATAAATAATTTTATTTTTCTTAAGACATCTATTTATCTAAGTGTATTAATTTAAGAGTTGAAAATATAGCGTGAGTACGTCACATTGTAGTTTGAGAAGAGAGACAAGAGACTATATTTGCTTTAACATAGAAAAAAATTGTAAGATAATTGAAGTGATGTAACTCGAATATCTATGTTTACATTTAGAAATCCATTTATAGAAATCGTGAAAGCACTTTTTCTGATCGCATAGGCATGTCTACCAAAAATAGTGAGACGGCCGAATTATTCTATTCATTTGAACTACATTGTTGACATAAAGTATGAATGAATTCTCGGGAAAATAACATATAATTAGAAGAAATAATATCATGATACATATTGATATATACTGACTTCTGAGCATCAATGTTGATTCTCTAAAGCTTTTACAAATTCTGCTAGTATCATACTCCTAAACATTTTAGGGGTTCAAACATAAATGTGGAATACAAATAGCAAGTTAGGTAAACTTTTGAAGTCGAGATGGAGCCATCAGGTTCCTACGTGTAACACCGTTCCTTTTTTAGTTAATTCTTTTAATTATTAAATAATACACTACTTTACTTTAATTGTAGTGTCAGCAAACAAGTAACAAAAAATAATGTCAAATGATGAAGCAAATATAGTAGCAATAATCTCTCAAGACGGATAATTTTGGTAGAACTATCGTTATTCTTGGCGATTCAATATGGATTATTTATCGTTATTCAAATGATATATTTTTTCTTATAATTTTTTTATTAAGAAATCTATTACTATTTTTGTTGATTGATTCCTTTACGAAAGCTTGTAAATATTAATGCAAAAACAATGATGATATATTGATGGAAAAGCTAATTAAAGCCATATATATTCAAGATAAGCCAAGATTTTTTTAATTCCCAATGCCAACATGCACCTTTGAATTAGTTTAAGTCGATTAGGATTAGAAGCAACTTCAGTGAAGATCATATATGACTTTTTTTGTTTGGAAAAGGTTTAGATCATATATAACTTTTGCTCAAGTATTAAAACAGTTGTTTGATTTGGTAACTTTAATCTTGGTTTTATGACTTAGGAATCGTACGTCCTCTGCCGTGGATTTTTTGGAGCATACTTTGTATGATTGTCATCATCATCACCTTAACCAATGGTCGTAGTGTTTTCATCTCCTTCTGCAGGATCTTAAACATGTTGTTGAACCTAGATTTTCAAAAAAAAAAAAAAGAATATCGAAAAATCATAGGAATCGGTTAAATACACGTAGGATGTTTGTCCAAAATTAAACATATAAACGGATTTACTTATATATTTGAACACATTTATTAATTTTAAACAGAGACTACGTACGTACGTAACCATCTTCGTGTATTATATATATGCGGAAATGAAATTGTTAGTTGCACAGTTACGCAAGTGTTTCTAACATATAGCATTTGTTTGCATTCTCTGTACTGTACGTGTAGACGTGTAGTCGGCATTATTGTCATATACATAAAGACATTATATATAACTACAAGAATTAGCATGATTAATGGTGACTTAATCTGAATAGGAAAAAAAAAAGTGACTTTCTTTAGGTACGTATATTTCTTCTGGACTGCCGAACAAAGACAAAACTGATTACAATAAAATCATGTTGATAATAATTCCATCACTTTCTATTTCGTCACTCTAATCTTCTTTTCTTTGTATTTTTCTGTATGTAACTTAACTTTGATTTTTTGTTATGAGTATTTTATGTATGCGACATTATATTATATATTGTTTCTTAAAATCATGCAATAAATCAATCATTTGATGATGCGGCACCCTATTTTGAGGTTTATTTATGGAAGTATAAATATATCCTCTATACCCCATTAATCCACTTATTACAAACTTTTGTCTTTAAAATCATATCTAATTGTAATATATATATATATATATATATATATATATATATATATATATATGTACATAATAATTTAATCATAAAGGATAATCAAAATACGTTGTGGATAGCGTAGAACTCATCTACACGAGAGGCGAATAATTGCATGTGTACATGTACGTGTTGCCAATTTCGTCTTTCTTCCTTTTTCTGTTTTAATTTGTTTTTGTGAAAGACGTGTTGCCAAAGTGATTTCCCCTCAAACTTTTTTTCCAGATGACCCAAATATGTTGTCTCACGTAACGATGTAAGCTAGTGCCTAGTGGAAATATAATAAGACAGTGACAACACAAATAAAGTAAAGAAGTTTTATCATTTGGGGCTAACGAATATCAAATAAACCAAACGTCTTCTATCTTTTATCGTTGGTTACGAAGACTCGAAGAGGATATTAAGCTTTAAAATCCTATTTGACCATAGATATAATAGTATCGTGTCAATAATCTAGTTGAGAATTCAACGGCTAGTAACATTTCAGCTTGATTGAGAGATTTGTAAGATTGATAATACCGATTTATCCTGCTACGGTGCTACCACGTAAATAGACACTTTCTATACGTAAATCCTGTATCATTTCAGCTTTTTGTTATTCTTCTTTATAGATATATCATGAACATTTTTTATTCTCAACATATATCACTCATCAATTTTCACGAATATGTCGCAGATTCTAAAAACATCATTATCAATGACATTTTAATTTTGTCTTTGAAAAAAAAATTGATGATATTTGAATAGTACAAATACTATAGTCATATTTGAGAAAGAAAAAAAATCAAAGTTTTGTTAGTGAAGTCTTTTAATAAACGCTAGTGATTACCAATCCTCGATGTATTTTCGTCATCTTGGATTATAAAACCTTTTTTCTTGTTTATTTAGATTACAGTATAAAACTTGATTTTAGCCTCAAATTTCAAAAAGGTGTTTCTTTACCTAGAAACATATTTGGAATTTTCTGATACTAATAATTAATATCAGAGAAACGGTACTAAATACATAATACTATCAAATAATCTATATTTGATCAAAATGGGAATCCACCTAAGATGTTATGTCATTGCTCACTATGACTATATATTGACAAAAATTAAACAAAAAATTGTGATAATATCAATTAGGTGATAGGTTGCAAAATCCAATCAATGCCCACCTCATGTCTCCTTCATGGAAGTGGATCTGGCAGCAGAAAATACAAGAAACTTAGCAATTTTATAAATGCAAAAAATGGTGGATATCTATTTTGTGGTTGCAAATTATTGGACCTCTTTCTATCTCTTTAATTTATTTTATTGTGATATTGCCACATGGATACTGTTATACGCACCACAAATCTACAATTATCAATAGTTTTTTTTAAAAATGGAAGATATGTGTGAAACAGCAGAAACAAGTGGAATAAATGAGTGTTTAGTATAACATAATTTAAGCAAACATAACATAGCTAAAATGAAATGGTACTTTTTTTTTGCCAACAATGAAATGGTACAAACAAAAAAGTAATAACTCAGTTTATATGATTTCAAATGATTATGATGGTTCAAATATATGGATTGAACAAATAAGTTTATTCGTATATTTTGTATGAAGTCCGTGACAGTCTTTCAAATAGTTACTACTATTCATAGGCTATATTTTTGCGATTCAGTCAAATTAATTAATTCTTTTTTGCCAACAAAAATAGCTGTTGACAAAAGGTAACAATGAATTATGTTTGTCGGTTATGCAAATGTCATCAAAAGATAAATACTTATCAGTCTATTTTGCTATTTATTGGTTAATACAATTATTAAGTGTTCACCAAAAGCTACATTAATAATACTAGACATAAGACATTATTGTACGGTACCACTCATGATATGTATAAAGCATGAGATCATTGATGTTGTATGGCGTTGGGCCTGTTGGCGCCAAAATTGGGTTTATGTCGCGAATCTGAAAAGGGTTTGGATTTGGAATCTGCTGGTTTGACTTATATATATGCGTGAGAGATGATGCATCTTTATCAATCAATCATCATGGTTTAGGACAAGCCGATCCTGACGTTTTTCATTTTTTTCCATATAATATACAGTATATTATACGAGTTTGAGTTTAGGAGATGACAAAATAATTCTATTATCATTTATCACTAACTGATAAACTTCATATTTTGATGTAGTAACGATTGATCTTGACATCTTGAAAGTCTAAAACAGTAGTAAGAAAAAACATAGCTTCAGTTTTCAAAACCTAAGTTTAGATACTATTGAGAGTCAATTACCCCAAGGTCAGAAAATCATACCTAGAATTTTTTTGAAATGTTATTATAACTCAATATGATTTTGATAATTTTCATTATATCGTGTAAAAACTTTAATTATCATGGATGAAACATATTTAAAAGCATGTCCTTGACTATATAAATGATTAGGTTGGTCCACATTTAGAACATGTTTGACCTGGCTTCAGCCATTCAATTTACAACTACTTGCATATTCATACAATTGAAACTATTGTCTTGCAAATATACAAAGCAATAGTGTCCGGGTCAGATACGAACTAA